CATGTGGTGCTGGGGGATTGAACCGCGGTCCCTGTGCTTTGCCAAGCTTGTTCCGAGTAGGTGCTTTAGACCACTGAGCCATCTCTCCAGCCCCAGCTATAGCCTGTCTTAAACAAACAAAAGGATACTAATGCCAGGCATGGTGGTACACACATGTAATCCCAGCACTTGGGAGACTAAGACAGGAAGATTGCCACATGTTCAAGGCTAGCCTGGGGTACATAGTGAGTTCAAGGACTGCCTGAACTACATGATGAGACCTTGTCTCAAAAAAATTTTAAGAAAAGTGTTGCTAATAAGCTGGCATTGAGATGGGAGATTGTCCTGGATTATTTATATGATGTCAATATAATTAGAATAATCATTATAAGAAAGAGATAAGCAGGTGAATTAAGTCAGGTTCAAAGAAAGATTTGGAGATATTAAGGTCCTGACTTTGAGAACCACATACAAGAACACAAATACCAAGAGGAAACTAGTGCACCTGATATGTACCTAGCATTTTTCTGCACAGCCGGTTTGACCCCAAGGAAGAGGAGAAGATAGAGATGTAGGATTGGGGTCACAGACCTGTTGAACTCCACGAAGGCAAGGAGTGTAGGAATGAAGAGGACTAAGGATGGAATCCCAGGGAAGTAAAGAATATTGAGGTGGAGCAGCCAGAGAGGGGTAAGACCACTCATGAGAAAGTAGTGTCCAGTAGTCTTTGGGGTAGAAGAACATCTCAAGAAGATCTCACATGGTTCATGCATAGAAGAAGCCTTGTATCTGAGAAGCAGTATCTTAGTGGTGGCTATCTGGAGAGCAATTTCAGATAGAGAGGAGAACTGAGTTGTAATAAATTATGGTGTGAATGGGAAATGAACAGATGGATTTTTTTTTTTAAAGATGGTAGCGCTTTATTTTATTTTATTTTTTTAATTTTTATTTATGTGTGTGTGTGTGTGGCCAGCTCAGCCCACCAGGGGGCGGGGCTGGCTGGCATGTGGTGCTGGGGGATTGAACCG